CCTCAAATTATATCTAGCTGAAAATTTATCCAAGTAAACTAACTTATCTTGCATTCCCTGCTTCACAGAGATGAGAAGCATAGTAAACTCATGTTCTATAATGACTTTCTGTCATTCTTAATCAGATATAATTAGATAAATTGAAGACCTTTTTGAAGGCTAATTATATCTTGTACACTCTAGACATCAGCTGCCCTTGTTATATGTTGTGCATTTTTGTTTTCATTTCCTTTCCCTCTGCTATCTGTCTGCAGAAGCAGATTTGGTTTGACTTTCAGTACTAATTGGGAAGAGGAGAGGGAGGTATTCTCTCAGGGATCTGTGCATATAGCACTTCTCTGTATGCAATGTATATAGACCTGAAGAACTGCTTGTAAACCAAATTGTCAATGGAATGATTTTAGTGGCACTAAACAGTCATTTCTGAGTAAAGGAAAAAAAAATGGAAGTACTTGGAAATGGGAAGAATCAGCTTCTAAATTTTAATAAAGATATAATTCTAAATCTTCCCTTCTTGGTTCAGATTTTTGAAATAGCTATCTATGCTAAAAACCTCTATTTCTCTTCCTCTGATATTTTAACCTCTAATCTGTTTTTTTTTTACCTAAACATTCAACTGAAATTAATGAACTCTACCAGCTTCAGCTTCCCCCATAGTAGGGATGAAAAGTATGCTCAGCTATGCCCAGCCACTCTCTAGATTTTCATGATACTCTTTTCCATTGATTCTGCCTTTACCTATAGTTACTACTCATTATCCTTTGCTGGTTCTATATACATGTTAGGCCCACTAAATATGATATATCCTAAAGCTCTGAATTGGATCCTCTTCTCTTTTCCCTGTATAATATCATCATACTCTCATGGAGTCAGTTATCATCTTAATGATGATCATTCCCAAAAACACACATATGCATTTGTGTAGATGTGTATTTATGTATGTACACATGGCCATAGGTAGATACACATACACATATGTATACACACATATATAATATATATGATATATAGAGACATATGTACACAGACTTAAACTCTCTACTGATATATATGCACACACATATATATACACACAGAGGCATATATGTTTGCATTTATCTATATGTGTATAAACACATATCTATATGCATATATGTATGTGTATATCTATCTATTTATCTATCTACACATATATCTTTAATCTCTCTACTGAGCTATGGTCCAATATTATGAATTACCTTTAGGACATCTTGCCTGAGTACCCCATAAATACCTTAAACTCAACATTTCTGAATTTGTACTCATTATATTTTCCCTCAAATCTTTTTCTGTTCCTAGCTTCTCCACTATGTAGAGGGTATTTCTCCATCCCCTGCCCCAGTCCCCCATGCTTATAACCTTTTCACTTGTTTTCAATCTCTCTTTCTTTATCAGCTTATTTCCTACTTTGTTCATATAATGAGAAGACAGGACTCATTGAAAAAGACACTGTTGGGAAAGATTGAAGGCAAAAGAGAAGGGGATGGCAGAGGATGATATTTATAAATAGTGTCATAGGAATAATAAACATGAACTTGGACAGACTTAAAAAAATAGTAGAGGATAGAAGGGCCTGGCATTCTATGGTCTATGGTGTTACAAAGACTCAAACACTACTGCTTAACTCAATAACAGCAACAACAAAACAAATATACCCATTTCTTCCCTTTCTTGAAAAATTCCCTAATTGATCATCCCACCCCTACTAACTATGGTGCTATTTCTTGTCTGCACTTTGCAAACAGACTCCTTGAAAAGGTCTTTTACAATAAGTACTTCTACTTTCCTCTCATTCTTTTCTTAAACCCTTATAGTCTGTCTTTTGATATCATTACACCAAAGCTTCTTTCTCCAACTTGCTAAAGATCTTTTAGTTGTCATATCCAATGGCATTGTCTCAATCCTCATTTTCCTTGACTTCTGTGTAGCCTTTCACTCTATTGATCACTCTCTCCTACTTAATATTCACTTCTCTCTAGGTTTATAGGACACCACTCATTCCTGTTTTTCTTCCTACCTATTTGCTTATTTAATGTCTCCTTTACTGGATCCTTCTCCATATCAAGCCTCCATATCAAGAGTTGACCAAATTCTGTCACTGTGGATTCCACTTAATGATTACAACTTCTTATATGCTTAAATGGATGGTTTATGACAGCTCCTGAAGCCAAAAAGTTCATCCACCAGAAATCAACACAGGAATAGGTCACTGAACTTATCTAGGTTTATTCTTGGTCAAGAGACACACAATATCTCTATGAAATTAAATCTTTCAACCTTGCCTTCTACTGGCCTATATGTACATTTCTCCAGAGATGTGATTTCATTAGAATAAGAGACAGAGACCACCTCTGTTAATATAAGTCAGATGTTCTTTTACAACTCATTAGACACTTGCCTGGAATTCAGAGAGATTAGGTGACTTGCCCAGGTTCATATATTTAATATGTGTGAGAATCAGAACTGAAGCCCAGGGCTTACTAAACCCAAGACCTGACTTCTAGCAATTATGACAGGGTGACTATCTTTGAAAGAAATAATTTATTTAAATATTTTGTATAGAGATAAAAAGGTTAAGCAAATGTATGATCTGATTTTGTTACTACTTCCTCAAATATTCATATAGACTAATATTTGTTTCTGAAATAATTTTATTTTAGGGTATTAGGTAGACAGAATTAAATAACTTTTTTTTAATCATAGAGGTAAATGCTTGTGTTTTAAAAGAAACAGATCTTTATTATCTAAGAAATTCTAATTAAGAATAGGAAACTAACTCCATTTTAAAAGAAATTGAATGTCAATTATGCACATGATTGTGAAAATGCAATGTCAATATAGTTATGTACGCATTTTTAATTGAACTTTTTTCCTAAGTTATTAGGAATGCAGTTTACAAAGCTATGTGTTAAAATAAGAAAAATGCTGATCTGAAAGAAAAAAAATTCTATAGGAATCTTTGCTTTTTTTTTTTATAGAGGAAGGTGATAAAAAATCAGATTCTTATAACTAAAAATAAAAATTCCTGGAAATGGTAGAAATCAATGTGGTTTTTTTTGTGAGATAAGTGAATATGTGAAAACCTTTTTTGCATATCTATAATACTTAAATAGAAACTATACAATCAAATTATTTTTTTTCCAGGAAAATGATATTTTTACCTAGGCTTTTACATATACAACAGAAAATGGCATTCATTTTTTCTCTTCTATGCCTTGAATTCAGAGACTTTTGGGATTTTTTAAGATAGGGTTTTATGTGACATTAGAACACAACGTTTAGAGATCACTTAATAATAAAAAGAGAATGTATATCTTATTTGGGGTGATTGCCAGATATATAGAATTTGTGAGGAGCCACTTTGCATTTAAAAGCAAATACTAAAAGGGATAAAAGAAGATGCCTATGTGAATGACTTGTCTAGAAAAGGAGGATAAGATACTTAAGAACTTAATACTTAGCTAAGTGGAGTATAATGTCCCAGAGTAATTATATTAAAATGAAAAAAAATAAATCTTTCCAATCATTTCACTACAAGAAAAGAACTAGTACTATCAAAAGCTCATACTTATCTTTCAAATATCCCCACATTGGCTATGAATTTATAAAAGCATTAATGCTCTTTTCTCAGCATAATTAGATCCACTGAAGAAATCTCCTCAATAAAGCCAACTCCCACTTACAATCATGATGGGAAACCCTTTGAGTGATTTACTGGAAACCTCATCTTATCTGTAGCACATGCAAAGTAGACAGAATTTATTGCATTCAGCAAAATTTTCTATTGAACTCTATGGTCAATGACAAGTTGTTATGGATGTTCAGACTGATACTTGTATGGATTATTTTAACTCTTCAAAATTAATTTCAAATTTGGAGAACTGATGAAACAAGAAGCTAAATACTGCATGTGTCACCTATAGGGAAATTGTAATGTTGCATATTTTTAAACTGTATTTGAATACAATAACATTATTGACTTATTTTTTTAAAACCAGTTTTGTAATTTTCCTAGTACAGGGAATTATTGGTTAGGAAATTCATTCTACCCATACAGACCAGCTCCTACTCTTATACTTAGAGTTTCAGTGTATTGCACTGGGCACTTAGAGGTGAAGAAGTTTACCTAAGTCTATTCGGTCAGTAAGTGTCATAGGAGGGACTTCAACCCCGGTCTTCCTGACTCTATGGCTAGCTCTCTACTTCCTAGCCCAACTTTGTCTTGGGAATTATAAGATTATCTCTATGAAAGTTAGTCATTCACCAAACTATGAGTTTGCTTATCTATCTATCTATCTATCTATATCTATCTATCTATATAGATAGATATAGATAGATAGATATAGATAGATAGATAGATAGATATATCTATCTATATCTATCTATCTATCTATCTATCTATATCTATATATCTTCAACTTTTCCATAAGGATATTGAGGGACTTGATCAAATGCTTTTTGGAAACAACACACAACCTTTCTGTAATCTATAATCCATATAGTACAATATTATTTTTTAAAGTAAAGGAGGCTTTTTGGCTTGACCTGATGTCTTACTTCTGAACTGCTCTTGGTTCTTGGGGGTCATGGTTTCCTTTTATAGATGATCACAAGCCGTAGGCTTAATAATCTATTCTAGAGTTTTTTTTCCACCTAGGGATTAGAAACAGGCTCACTTCTTTATACTTTGTAAAAATTCACCTTTTTCCCTCTTTCAGAAAATTGGCAGACCATTTGCTGATCTCTGGTCTTATAGCTCTTCTTCAATTTTCTATGAAATTTCTAAGATGAGTAACAACAATTCAATATTCTTATGTCAATAAATTTTTAAATACAGTTTGCTATAATTCTGCAACTGGAAACTTGATATCTCACTGGATGTATGATTTCATCAATGTTCTTACACTCCCCACCAATGCAGATTGCCACTCCCACAGCAGCTATTTGAGGGGAAGAGCTTAGCCTCTGATTTCTTTTGACAGTGTGCAAACCTGGATTCTTCAAAGCCTCACCTCAGAGCCAGAGCTGCAGCAAGTGTCCACCTCACAGTTATACCCATGAAGAAGCTTCGACCTCTTGTCTCTGTGAAAAGGACTATTTCAGGAGGGAGTCTGACCCACCTACAATGGCATGTACAAGTAAGGAAACCCTGTGTCTCTTCAATGATGCTACTCTCACATTGAACCAATCTGAAGGAGTGGCATGATAGAAATAAAACAATAATCTTGCATGCTTCTTTTTCTCTTCAGTGGCTACATGTTTACTCACCTAGCCACATGAATGTCCTCTGAAGCAAGCCTCATAAAGGCTAACTTCACTAATATAACACTAGTAGAATCATATAAATATTCCTTAAGTTAGAATTTAAAAACAATTTTTAGGTGACAACTCTTTCACTTTGCTTTATGGTTGAATTATGATACTCACGATTACTGCATTAATGACTGAGTTCCCTTTCCTGTCTGTTCATATAGACTATGTGCTGTATTTGAATCCTCAATCTTCCAACTCACTTAAACATAGAGCCCCCTTTTGCACAAAGGAGACAACCATGCTTCTACCTGCCCCTCTGATTTGCAAAGAACAATTTGAAGAAGAGCAGTTTAGCTATATATACTCCTTCTTTAAACCTAGCAAGTTCATTTAGCAGGTCAGATATCAGTCAAAAACTAACCCAGCTTTTCAACTTAGGGTTATAGACTTTTGTCAAAGGCCATGTCAATGAATATCCTTAAATGTAGTTTCTTATTATTCTGTGATCTCATAATGCTTTGTTTATCATCCTAAACACAAGCTATATCTGTAAAAGTTCTCTTTGAGATACAAGGCTGCACTGGCAGCACCCATATTGATCACTGTTCCTTTTCCTCTCCCTATGGAACCTGACATACTGCCACCACAATTCTTCAGTTCTATAGATGATATAGACAAACTTAAGTCATTAATGAAAATCATATTCAGAGGTCTGTTGCAAATAGAAATTTTAATGAAAATCTAACAAAAAAGGAAACATAAAAGAAAGTCCAAATCAATGGCTGCTTCTTTGTCCCCAAACCCCCTTCCATTTAGCCCACTGACTATTTCTCAACCATGTCTTGTTATATTTTATTCTTTAACCTAGTGAGTATTTGTCTTCATAGCAGGGATTAGTATTGATAAATCTTGACCCTAAAAACAAATAGATTTCTCTCAGAAAAGCAATGTCCAGAATATCACAAAATGATATTTCACCTGAAATTGTTCCCTTCTTCCTAGTTTCCAAAGATTTGTTAAAATACATTTTCGGGATTCTTCAAATAGTCCTTATTAAGTATCTTCATACTGAAGCTCTTGCTGATCCCCTCTGAGAATGCTGATTTTATGAGTCACTTCAAAGCATTGCCATTGAAATAGAACTCTTTAAGCCTTTGAGAAGAGCAGCTGAATCTTCTGCACAAAACCCCACTGGTACCTTTAAGAAATTTATGCTTTGTCTAAGAAAGAAAAAAAAAACTCCATTTTTTTATTTAAAAGCCACAAAACTAGTGGATGTGGTCAATTATCGGCAGCTTTCAACTATCAGCAAATAAATATGTACTGTGTGAATACATCTAAAAGGAACACATTCTTGCTGTTTTAATTGATTAAAGGTTCCTTTTTTTGAAAGCTATATAATTTCTAGAGGCTGTGACTATTCCAGTCATGTTGATATCTTAGTGTCATGAAGGATAATTAAGTCGAATTTGAAGTATTTGAGAACATGAGTATGTCTAGGAGTTTTAGGTCAGATGAATGTATAAAATATTTCATAGAATTCAGTCCTTTAGTACTGACCCATGTGTTTTAGTTTGAACACAATTCAATTCAACAAATGTTTGTTGAATTTTAAATTCTCAGATACTTGAAGCAAAGGTACTTGGGGGGAAGGGAAGGAAATGCAAGTGAAGGGAGTCTGGTTTGAGTTATCTTTATAGCTCCATTAATCCTCTATACAATTTCACATATGTAGACATTCTCAGGTTCCTCAAACAGAAGGTGTTGTGCCTCTGATCTAAGGATTGTGATAAAGGAAAGAAGGGTAGAGGACTGGTGATTGATAGTTCTAGAACCAGAGTCCAGAGACATAAGCATCATATTGTTAACCTCTCTGACTATGTAAATTTTCCATCTTTTTTCCCCGCAAAGGAACATTCATTTGTCTGCACTGCTCAAAATTCTGATATGTTGTACTGTTAATTCTATATAATAATATGTATATATGGCTGTGTAACTCTGTTTTCAGTTGCTTTCTGAGTGGTACACATAATGCATATGTTTCCCACAAGCCGATGGATTGATAAATGTTCATATGAGAATCTTAAATGTTATACTCTGCTTGGCTTCATAAAATTTAAATTCATGGCACCAGCTTTAGGCCTTATTTTATTTAAGAAGTGAGAAAATGCAGGGGGGAAAAAAAGGAAGAATCAAATTGATAGTTCTTCAGGAACACATTTTTCAGCCCCACCTTTTTGTCTGTATCCTCCAATATGCATACTTAGTAACAGCAGAATGCCATTACATGATTCTTCAGCATTAGTCTGAGTCCATGTTTTATCTTGCTGCTTCAGAGTTGAGCTTGATATAACACTCACATTGGCTTCAAAGACATTTTTTGTACTCACAGGAGTGTTAAGGGTTTGAGAAGGGCACAGCAAGAGAAGAAACAGGCTTTAGTGCATGTTTCCTATTCCAAAAGAATATTTTTTACACTCAATGTTCCATTTGAATGCTTCCTTCCCCTAAAAAAGACACTCAACTATTTTCAATGCAGTTTTAAAAATAAATTTTACAAATTGCATATGCCTTCTAGTATCTCTAATTGATAAAAGAGGAAAAAAAATAACATATGATAGTTCAATCAAAAAGTGTGAATCTATCCTTTCCTGCCTATCCTTTAGAAAGCTGGATAATCAAGTCAAATCATTTTGCAATCTCATATAGTTATTTCCACAAATGCTGTCTTTTTACTGAAATGCTTGTGTGTGTGTTTGTTAGTATCAAGAGGGGTTAAAATAGAAGGCTTTTTTTTTTAAAGTGTGGTGCTGGTTTTCAGAGATGTTAGTGTTTTACTTATGTGGTTCTTAAAAGGTAGTACTGCATAAATAAAGCTTTGAATAATACACATCCTTTCCTCTCTTATTTTACCTCCACCATAATAATGCTTCCAAATAGTCACAATTAATTCACATTTTTAGATTTGTTACAGAGAAAATCTATAGTAAGAAAATTAGTCTATGACTTTCATAAGCTTCTTGATATATGGTAATACTAATAAATTATATTTATATGACCATTTAAGTTTCAAAGTGAATTCCTTACAATAGCCCTGTTATAGGGATAGTTCCCATTTTAGTATCTGTATTTTGCATATGAGAAAACTGACCCTTTGAAGTTGTGACATAATGATAGCCCTTCAAACTTTGCAAAACATCTTCCATATATTATTTAACATAATGCTGGTAGAAATACAGTAATGTCAGTACTAATCTCCGTATTATAGGTGAGGAAACTGAGGTTCAGAAAAGTTAAGTGACTCATGTATGATAACTCAAATTACAAATATAATGGTCAAGACAGCATAGTAGGGCTCTTGAGTACAAGCATAGTAGTCTGTCCATGATTTCATGCTACTTTGCACCTTTTACCAAAATGAAATAATGTAAAGTATGGTTTCTTCTCTGAGTTTCTGAAAAAAAAAAGACACAATTTTAATGTCCCCTTTGTGAATTCCTAATCATATGATCATTTCATTTCTGTCAAAAGTTAGACATGTCTGTTAGGAATTCAGCTATGTATTTAGGTTGCTATGTAATTCAAAATCCATTATTTTCAATATGCTGATTTTTTGTCTCAAATTAGTCACAGTAATTTACAGAATAGAACATTCCTCACCCACCCTGCCCCATATCTGCAAAAACATTGAGCAATTCCCAGTGCTGTGCTGATTTCATTATTGGCATCAGAATTCAAATACTTCATTAAGACAAGGTGTTCCTTATTGGGACAAAAAAAGTGAATTCATTTCTTATGTAATGATATTTTCATTTCAACTCCAATAGAAAAATTAACAACTTAAGTGAGAAGGTAGGAAAGTAAGCTTGGAGACATTTGGGGTATATAGGTTGTGAGGTTTGAGACAAATATATTTTTTCATCTGACTGTTTTGATGTTCTTGAGATGAAGTTTGTTATGCTATCTCTCTAGACACTAAACAGTTGTGTATTTTTAAAAAAATAGCTATTTCCTATAAGAAAGAAAAAATATTCTGTAATTGTCTGTCATTGTTTTTTGTTTCATGAGCCCCATATTCTTAGTAAATTACAATCTATAAATTACAGAATTATGACATTAAAGGAGTATCAAGAGAAGAAATGTTGTTACAGATTGTAATGGTTGATCAGCCTCTTAAAACCTGGTGCTTTCTTGACAAAATGAGGGAAGGTTTAAAAAAACTGTATGTGATTTGGCATGAGAAGATGGGATATATTTTGAAATATGTGTGAAATGTTTCTGCCAGATATGTGATTTGAGATCAAGGACTACAACTAAAAAAAAAAAAGTTTCCATTTGCACTTGGCCTTCACTTCCCAAACTAGTAGGAACTAGTAGCAAAGAGAAATTATATGTTGAGGCCCGAAGAGAAGGATTTAAATGTTCAGTACCTTCACACTCTCTCTCTCTCTCTCTCTCTCTCTCTCTCTCTCTCTCTCTCTCTCTCTCTGTTTCTCTCTCTCTCTCTCTCTCTCTCTCTCTCTCTCTCTCTTTCTCTCACACACACACACACATGCATACACATATATACACACACATAAGTAAAACCTAAACATTATTGACTATCTTATTCAATAATTTATAGTAATATAAACCTTGTTTTTATTCAACCAGAAATATATCTCAAGAAAAAGCATTTATTTCAAGATATAAAATCCCCTAATAATAATGCAACTTCTCCCTCTAATGAAGGACTTCAGGTTTCATTACAAATTGACTACTATTTTCTTCCTACTTAAAAAAAAAAGACATTATATATTTCTTCAGCCCAGGGAATGGTGGGATGAGGAATGCATAACAATATCATCGTAAAATGTGTTTTTCTCACTTTACTTTGCAAACCAGGACCCCCCTCAGCTCCTCGGAATGCCATCTCAAATGTTAACGAAACTAGTGTCTTTCTGGAATGGATTCCTCCTGCTGACACTGGTGGAAGGAAAGATGTGTCATATTATATTGCATGCAAGAAGTGCAACTCCCATGCAGGTGTGTGTGAGGAGTGTGGCGGTCATGTCAGGTACCTCCCCCGTCAAATCGGCCTGAAAAACACCTCTGTCATGATGGTGGATCTCCTCGCTCACACAAACTATACCTTTGAGATTGAGGCAGTGAATGGAGTATCCGACTTGAGCCCAGGAACCCGGCAGTATGTGTCTGTAAATGTAACCACAAATCAAGCAGGTAAGTGGAACTCCCAAATGACGAGGTGCCCCAGGCCCTAATTCTGTTATTCCTCCTTGTGCTGCAGTACTTTGCCTTGATTCAGGAAGAGGGTTTTCAAGCATAGGTTAATAGGCTGATCGGGCCTAAACTATCACATACTTTCTAGTGGTTTCTGTGAGTTCTGCAATCTCATATACTAAATCCCCCAGCACCAACAATCACATGAGATAAGGCAATAAAATTTGTTTTGTTCTTCTTTCCCACTTTTAAAATCCTTTCTTCAAAATATTCATGATGGTTTTTTTTTATTTCAGGTTTTTTTTTACCCAATGAAATGTAAATGGCAAAAATTGGCAGCTTACTCCATGTTGAAATAATAGTTTATCTTTTTTGCTTTTTGTTAATTAGGCATTTGCTGGAGAGCTATAAAATATAGGTGACCTTTTTGCACATTAGTACAGCTTTATTTACGTTTTAACATTTCCTTTTTGTTGCTGTTGTTTTTCAATTATAAAATGAGTTGTATGTAAAAACATTTTCTTTACTAAAACCCTTTCTAGAAATTAAGATGGCTGAATTAATATACAAATCTCAAAAATATACCTGCCCCTTCTTTTGGAACTCTAAGTCTTGTTAGTAGGAAATGGTATTCAAGTTTGTCCTACAATTGTTTTGTCTTTACTTTCTTTTTTACTTCCTTTCATGAGTGAAAGGTTTATTTAAGGACTTTTTTCTTTTAGTAAGAAGAGATAGATCAGATAATGCGCATTCATTCATCCCAGCCTGTACAGAGCTACACTCAAAATATGTTTAAAAAGTGTCACCTTTACGTTTGTTTTTGGTTAATTGTTATCTAAAACAGTTTAAGGAAGAATTTCAAGGGACTAAAGAATTATGTCCCCCAACTCACCTCATTCTTAAAGAACTCCCTCATTCCATTTCTAGTATTTCACATTTAATCACTCATTATTCTGGAAAAGGATCCCATGACTCTGTTCATGAAACATAAGAATATTTGATCAAGCAACACCATGTTTAGTTGGCATAATATTAACCTATGTTTGAGGTTCTAAAATCACTAGGGAGGCTAGTTTGAATATGTCAGGTAAACCATGTCACTCTCTCCTATTGAGTGCTCACTTACTTCTCGTTGATGTAATTAAAGCAAGCTTCTAAGGGTAGCAAAGATGATGTCCAATGACAACTGTGAAGGCACGTATTTGATTCAGCACAGCAGCTGTTCTTTATTTCATAGAATTAACTAGTCTCTTATGCAGCTATTTGTTTTTCATCCTAGTAGGAAAAAAAAACCAATATATGTGTCCCTAAATTGTATAATTTAGCTATTTCTTCCCCTTAATTTTATTCTGCAATGGTCAGGTTCTCAACAGGCATAAATAAGTATAGGATACACAAATACACAAAAAGACAACTCCGTCTATAGTCTGAGCTGCCACTGTCTTCAAGTACCTGTCCTGATAAGAACACTGGAAAAATAAATAGACTGTGAATCACTGTTAATTTTATAAAAATTCCAAGTCCAATTTTGAATTCCATTTTAATTTACCACTAACAATGTAGAGAATTCACTTTCACAATGGAAGGGAAAAAATATTCTATAAATTCTCCTTCTCCTCTTTCTCCTTCTTCTGATATATCTACTTTTTGAAAAAAAATGGTTTTTTAACAACCTGGATGTGGGGAATATTATTTATTCATTTCAGTAGCATATTTGATTAATATTTGAGTAGCAGATTTGATTAACATTTGATTCTTTTTTCAATGGCATATCCAAATCCCCAACGTTTCAGTGTTCTTTGACCCCAAGATTTATTTAAGCAAAAAAAGTTAGAGTGTTCATCTAACTGATCAGGATATAGCTATCATTTGGATTTTTTCTTATCTGAACCTATGATTTAATCAATTTAAAAAACTCCAGGTAAGTAAAAACCCAGCTAATATAGGCTACGTACCTACCTCACAGGATTATTGTGAGAATCAAATATTTGTAAATCACTTAGCCACAGTGCTTAGCATGAATTAGACATATAATACATGCTTGTTTCCTTCTCTCTTTTCCCTCTCCCCACCAAATACTTACCTAAAAACATTAAGTGACTTCCCCTGGGTTATTAGCCAGTAAGGAGAAGATGCAGGTCTTGAAACCAGCCTTACTTGACTCCAATTCCATTTCTCTAGCCACTACCTACAGTGCTTCTTAGGGGAACATAGAATCATAGATTTTGGGTTGTAAGGGATCTCAGAGACTATTTGGTCAAACTTTTTTTTGTAGTGTGGAAACCCAGAGCTAGAAAACTTAAGTGAGTTATACAAGACTCAAAAGTTCATATATTTGAACCTTGAGCCTCTGATATCGAAATTCAGTGGTATTGTCCCACTGTACCATATATGTTTACCACTATTTAATTATAAATATGTATGATATGGTTTTGTTGGCTTTAGGTTTCAAATCTCTTAGGATAGATAAGTCAGAAGCTCTAACCACCCCCCCCTTTTTTTTTGGTGGTCCAGGGAACAAGCTTCATAAAACACTAGGGCAAACTTCACATTATAAGTAGGTCAGGTAGCCTCTGAACCAAACCAATTTTTTAAAAGAAATTCAGTGTGGAGGGAAGTAGAAGCACAGAAATGGGGAAAAGAGTGAAGGGATTCAAGGATGTTAGTCCTAGTCTGAGGAAGCCCAAGGAAACAATGAGGCCTTCTTCTGGAGAAGGTTAACTTACCTGTTGGACAGCAGTGAGTCAAAGAAGTGAGCCACATGGTGCCTTCCTATTGCAACTATAATGTGAGGACTTTAAATGAAGTAGTTACAGATATCTATAGAATTCTGGTTATATGATAGTGAAGTATGCTTCATAGTCTGTAAGGAACTGCCTTTCACCATTATTCTCCAAGAAGCATCCCTCCAGTATCCTCCATGTATAGAGATTCTATCCTCTGAACAGACCAATGGGATCTGGTAATATGCAATTATCTCATTACTAACTAGTAAAAGTATTTTCTAAATTTTGGAGCCCTGAGGCAAAACTCTAGTATTTCTACTCTAGTTCGCATGAGAAACCTACTAATAAGAGTGACCCAACAGAAAGAACTTTCTCAGATAGAGTTCAGCTATCCCAAATAGCTGCCTAATTCACCTCAAATGAACACTTCTATGTGTGTGTATACACACACATACATACACACATATACATGTGTATATATACACATATAACACATGTATATACACACACATACACAGATATACACATATACACTATATACATACATGCATACAAACACATATATGTGGAATATTGCTGTCAAAATTGATTCTGCTCTAATGGGTAATTGCTCATCACTGTTACAGGAACAGAGGACTTGTTTATTTTTTTTCTTTTTCATTTTACAACCAAAGAAAAACAAAGCAAAAAAAAGTACAAGTTGAAAAAAAGTTATCCTTACTAGATTCTTTTTTGTATATAACATTTTTGGTGGAAATATACATCTCTGGTTTCAGATATCATTAAACATTTTTTTCCTGGTTGGGGTGGGAGGGCATTGTTTCTTTCTCAAGTACTTTGTTTTAATTTGGTAACTGGCAATAGTATTTGGGCTAGCATTTTCAGGTTAATATAATTTTCTCTCCTGATGGCAAGGCATGTGTGAACCGTATAGGTTCAAAATTAGATTTGAAAGTACAAGAAGAGGAATAGATGGTTCTGTGTGCAAGATGAAAAATATTGCATTAAAGTGGGAGCAGGAATTGATTAGCAAACCCTAACTGATCAGCCTATAAAATGTAATAATGATTTCCTGCTGAGGGTGAGTGATTAAATGATTAATTTATGGATGTTTATACAGTATTTAAAGCATTTCCCCCTCCATGATATCATTACAGAGTCTGGCATCTTGCTTTTGTGAAAAACTGCCTGAATACAAATGGCAGCTTTTGCATGTGATTTAATATTAATTTGAAGTACAAAATTTTGAGGGAAAACAAGGTGCTAGAGTTTGTTGTTATTGTTGTTGTCGTTGTCATTCCCTAAAAAAATGTAGCCTCCCTAAGAAAAGAGTGAAGGCTCCCTGAAGTCTTTTTGAAGATTTTTCTTCAGATTAAGAAATACAGACAATGATAAATGAACAAAGACAAAACAGATAATTGTATGAAGATAAATAGTTTCTGCCTCTAACAAAGAAGAAGAAGAATACCTACCCTTAAGACTTAGTTCTAATCTCTCATCCTATGTTTATAGAATAAGATGGGGAGATATGGGCACAGTTAGGTGGGCAGCTGTTATTTCTTTTTTTAATTTTATTAATTTATTTGGATTTATAAACAATCACTTCCATATGTTCTGAGTTTAAAATTTTTCTCTCCCTTCCTCCCCTCCATGCTCCCCAAGGTGGCGCACAATCTGATATAGGCTTTACATTTACATATCCATTAAACATATTTTCACATTAGTGAAGTTGTAAGTAAAAATTAAAACCAATATGAGGAACCATCAGAAAGATGAAAAAACATTCAAATGAAGGTAAAAATAAGTGATAGCGATTCAACTTCCATAGTTCTTTCTTTGGATGTGGACATCATTCTCCATCCCAAGGCCTCTAGAGGTGTCTTAGATCCTTGTAATGCTGAGAAGGATTCAGTTTAACAATATTAGTCATCGCAAAACGTGCATGTTATTGTGTGCAAAGTCCTCTTGGTTCTGCTCACTTCACTCAGCATCAGACCATATAAGTCTTTCCAGGTTCTTCTGAAGTCACCCTGTTCATCATTTCTTATAGTACAATAGTATTCCATTACATTCATATACCACAACTTGCTCAGCCATTCCCCAATTGTTGGGCATCCCCTCAGTTTCCAATTCTTTGCCACCACAAAAAGAGCTTCTATGAATGTTTTTGTACATGCGGCTCCTTTTCCCATTTCTTTGATCTCTTTGGGATATAGCCCTAGAAGTGCTATTGCTGAATCAAAGGGTATGCACATTGTTGTAGCCCTTTGGACA